AAACTGTCGGCACTTGGCGCACCTCGATCGTCCCGGGCAGTTTCCACGAAAAGTGATCACCCCGACAGAACTGGCAGAGAGTGTTCGGACAGGCCCATGCACGTGTGGCCAGTGGCCGCGCAAATCGTGCAGATCTCAGTCGCGCCAGGAAAATACCGCTGCTGCTCCTTCTCGGCCTCGTCTTCGCTCATGACTTGTCGGTACCCAGCCACTTCTGGCTCGTCGTGCTGTGTGCTCCTGTTGTCGCCTCCTTTGGCCTTTGCGGCGCTCTGCCCTGCTGCGCTCCCCGCTTCGGGCCCGAGCAGTGACGCCCAATCACTTGCTGTTGGCGCCGACTCTTGCTGTTTCGCGTCGTCGTCGCCCTGGATAGAAGCTGCGCCAGAAGGAACAGATGTCGACGGGCGTGTCGTGTTATCTGTCTCCTCGTCCCCGCTGCCCGTGTCCTCTCCGTCTTCTTCTGCGTCTTCGGCCTCACCATGATCACCAATTGAGATGGGATCCTGCGATGTTCCTGCGGCAAAAACACCCGGTCCATGCACGGCCTCGAGCGCGAGGCCCACAATCGTGTCCAACTTGCCCCCTTTCTGCAGCTTTTTGATCCGGTGTAATGCCGTCTTGCTCTCCTTCTCCTTGCTCTGGGCGTGCGCGAACATATCAATGCAGAGCGATGGTGTCATGAGGGGCCCCTTATCCTTGTTCTGCTCTACAACAGCATTGATCCATCTGGTGATCCGCTCATGCCACGTGTCAGCGGCCTGCTTCTTACGAAGGATCTTCGGATCCGTGGGCAGCAGAAAATGTTGGCCAGTTTCGTCTGTAAAGGTCTTGGCAGAATTCTTGCCTCCCGTCTTCTTTCCCCCTTTGAAGTTGTTCGTGTTCGAGGCGGACCCCGACGTAGCCTTGTTTATGTTTGGTACCTCTGCGGTTGTTGGCGTGACTGTGTTCCCCAGCGCCTTGCTGACTTCCATTGCCGGCTCGTGACCAGAAGGCTGCGCAGTCTTTTGACGCTTCGACTCGGGCTCAGGAGATGGCGCCGCAGGGAGAGGGGCCGCCTCCTCACTCACTTCCCGTGATCGCTTCTTCGAGGGCTGCTGGGCCTCAAGAATGGCGGGTGCCGGAGAGCTGACGGCAGGCGGGGCCTCGTCAGAGGCGTCCATAATGCCCGAAGAGTTCTTGTTCTCAAGAGGACGTAGGTGTGAATGGACAGAGGAAGTCGACAATCTGGATACCCGTGAGCTCGAATGGTCCTGCCGTGATTGGTGGTGCCTGCCCCTGATGAATGTGGAATCCCTCTTTGGCGAAAATGCCCCAAAAAGTCCGAGGTCAAGGAGCTCTGATGAGTTTCCGAGCACGCAAGGGAGTGGGTGCTCCTCGTCGATGAGGTGCGGTGGCGGATGCGTCTGCCTCGGGAGTGGTGGTTGAGGTGAATGTGACCTGGACGTGACTTGGCAAGCTTGGGTATGAATGAGTGACGCCTCGCTCGGGGCGGCACACGAGGCAAGGAGGGGCAAGTGACGGGTATCGGCCCCAAATCGTGCACAAAGAAATGACGGAAGCTATTCAAAACCTGTTCCGGTGTGATGCAGCGTCGTCGGGCAACGGAGAAGACTCAACCTGGTGAAGCAGCTCCCTTGATGCTCGTGCAGTTCATGAACGCGGCAGGGGCAAAGCAGGCAGGCATCGAAAAATTATTGGCCTTATCGTTATCGTGCCGCTCCTACCAACCTTGAGTGGACGGAAGGAATCTTGGAGGAAAGGGAGTAACTTGTTGGAAGGTGCGAGGAACGATGGGGCGCCGTTAGAGATGGGCCGTAGATTAGCCGTGGGGGCCTACCATTACATGGGTGAACAGGCCGGGAACACTGGCGCAGGCATGTTGGGAAAGGACGTCTGGATGGAGACGAGACCCTGAAATGGAAGCGGAAGCCCGCGGACCAATCTTGGCGAGACGAGATTGACATTGCACTACGGGCCCCTTCCTTTCAGGTGACGGGCAGTAGACAGGTCATTCGGACTGTGGGAATTTATTCCGAGGGCCTAGCGACCTACTGGTACATTTCTTCGTCCTTCCTAAGACATACTTGTACATCTGGCAGTCTCTTCTTGCTTTCCCATAGGAAAGGGCGCCACTCTCCCAAGCTCCAGGCCCTCGGGGCAGGCCGGTCACCTCAAATATCAGCGTCGTGATTGCATGGTTCGCACTGCCTAGTACTGGTGGGATGATGTAAGCAGGGGGGTCGCAAGAGCAAGAGGAAGAAGACTAGAATGCTCCGGGGGGAGGAGGAACGGACAAGGGGGGGAGGGGGGGGGGGGGCCTGCCTGCAGGTCAATTGAAATCTGGGGGCTTGGGGGGCCCTTGCCTGGCTGGGTGTCCTGGGGGTTTCTAGGTGGGTAGGTAGGGGGTGTCTCGGGTCCCCTGCCCAGTGTGGAAATGTTCCCTGTCTGCCGCCCACTGTCCATCA